ACAGAGAGAGTGAGAGAGAGAGAAAGAGAGAATGTGTAAACACGTGGACCGTCGACGAAAACCCCTGGAACTGGAAGAAGAGAGAAGGATACATATATATCTCTCTCTTACTCTCATCACCCTATATAAACGAGAAAGAGAGAGAGAGAGATTGAGTATGGTAGAGAGAAACGAACCAGGGGGGGTAGTTGATTTTCGTTCGGGGATGTAGGCGCAGACTCGGTGCAGAAATCGTGTGGGTTTCTATCCCCGCAAGCTATATCCCCAGAATCAGCTGCCAGATTATTCTATTACCGCGTATCAACATGGGGCTTGTTTGGTCTGAAAACACGAGTTCGCCACATTGTTTCAGCCAGATAAAGAATTTAACGTTGGGTAATTAAAAGGAGCTCGGGCCTCGGGGACGAGCACGATAGGCGACGAGTTTGAGGGGGACGAGGGGGGGGGACCGGGGACGAGGGATGAGAGGGGGACGACGAAGACACACCATAAGAAATAAGGAAACTAACTAAAGATGATATGAGAAATCTTTTCTAATTATTCTTATGAGCATTACTTTTTTCTTGTTAATGGGAATAAAACGTGGACGAGAATATTAAATAAAGATAGAAAGAAAAATTGTTCTTTTACTTTGAAATCCCTGATGACGATGACGACGACGACGTCTTCGAAGGCATGGCAACTTACTTCTCGCTTGAAAATCCCTCTTGGGGACGTTTTGTGCCTCCTTAGTTTGATACCTTCTATATATAGTAATCTAAGCTTAACCAAAAGATATTAATGTCGAAGATTCTTTTTTATTTTTCTTTTTGTTGTTATTCTTGTTATTGTTGTAATTATCTTGTACAAGACATAATTGGATTTCATTAATTTTTATGTATCCTTTTTGTATAACGTAGACAAAAATTATACTTTAATATATTGTATGTATATCGTATATTTTTTATTTAATTTGTTTAATATTTTGCAAGAAGATTGTTAAAAATTGATCTATTATTTCTACAATTTGTTATATTCTATATTAATATTTTGTTTTTTTTTTTCAATATTTCTTTGATAATCGATTTGTTTAGGGACGATTTGGGATATTCTAAAAAAAAAAAATACAAATTCGTGTTCACGTGTCTGAACACATATCATACTTCTCTCTCGTTAGAATAATATTGACCTCTGTCGAACTTTACCATATATACGTGTATAACTGAATGATTATATAATACTATTAAACGACACTCTCTCGATGGTACATATTAATCAACGCAACGAAACCTATTATATTACAACATTTGTTAAATATAACATGATTTAAATCATGGAACATAATATATATATATATACGTAGACGTTTATCAATTCGGTAAAACAAGACTATATCTATAGGTATTTACGCGTTAAATTGATGGCGTTTCATCGTAAACAAGTGAAAACATTGATAATAGATTTTTTATTTTTCCCTTTACCCCTCCCCCTCTTCCTCCCCATCACCCCGCTGCTCCTTTACCTTATTGAATTTTTTTCTATTATTTCAGTATAAATCTATTTTCCTATTTTTCTATTTCATCGAACAAAATATAACACATTGTTGTCTACAAGATACATTTTATTGGGAATCATAAATAAAACGGGTTGACCAATAGGAAAAGAAAATAAGCGAAAATAAAATGGGTACATCTCGCAAAACGTTTCTATATACACACACAATATATGTATATATATATATATATGTATATTTATATTTCTTTCTCTCTTTTTCTCTCTTTCTTTCTTTCTTTATGTATTTATATATATATGTATATATGTATATGATTTCTATGTATAACGAAACAGATAGAAATTGTCAGCCGGGAGAATAGCATGGTGTCGACGGCACCAACACCAACACTACCACCATCACCACCATCGCCACAACACAACCGCCGTTGGTCGATTCATCACCGTTGAAACAATAACAATCGACGAGTGCTCGTCGATGCAGTAATTAAAATAAAATTAATTAGATTGGCAACGCGTGAGCGTAACCTTTCGAAGAAGATGGGTGCAACACAGCCGTGGGGGCCTTTTCTATGGCATTGCATATAATGCACTGTTTATTCTTCACTCTCTTCCATAAACACATATTCTCACGTATTCGTATATGTGCATGCATCCTTTATCATTTTTCACTTTGTTGTTTTTTCCATATCTATCTCATGGTTTTTTTTTTTTTTTATATGGATATATAATTTTGTTAAGTTTTCTAGGAATGAATGTGTGAATAAAATAATTAATTAATTAATGAAGATGAAAAAAGAATGATAGTGTTATGAGTATTATAAATATAGGTACATATAAATATATTATATATAATTATAGTTAATTTTGAGGTGGTTGTAGTTTTTTTTTTGTTATATAATTCATGGTTGATGGACAATACACGAATATTTAATTATTAATATAAATTAAGAGAAGAAGGGGTAGGGAAAGTATTGTACATGGTTCGTAAGATCTAATAAACTCGAAATAAAACGATTATTAAATATTATTATAGATTATGTTACAAGTTTGTTACTTTGTGTTCTTTGTATTTAGAAAATAGAGAAAAAAAAAAAAAAGAAAAAGAATAATTGTCCAGGCGTAAAAAAGTTGTTAAGAAATAAATAAGAAAGAAACTTTTGGAAGTATCGTAATAATAGAATTTTTCTTTCTTACATTTATAATTCGTATAAGAAATCCATGGTAACGTTTTTCTCATAGCAGAGCTTAAAGACGTAGAAAATGAGAAGAAAAGAAATAAGTATTAAAAGAGAGTAAGAAAGAGAGAGAAAGACAGAAGGTTAATGCGATTTTGAAAACGTTCGTTTAGAGTTTGATCGATCAATCCTTATCGTCGTAAGGGGGATGATGGTAAAAACTATCGATAACTCCCATCTAACTCCGTAGGTTACGATTATTCATTTATACGTTACTTTCGAGATTTAGTTGGAACCGTTACCACCGGTACGACCAATCAATCCGTTTTCCTTCCGGCGATTCTCTTCTCCCGATTGTGAACATTTCATTAAAATTTCAAAGAAGAATTGTCTTGATCTTCGGGTCCGTTCAGAAAACTTCAACGGGGGTTTTCTTCGCGTCGCCTAAGTTTAACAGGAAGGAAGGAAGGAAGGAAGGAAGGAAGGAAGGATGGTGGTTAGAAGGGTGTGGGTTGGTAAAGGAGGAAAATGTTGGGGTGGGGAGAGGGTTGAAAGGATCAGTGTGCCGATGCCAACGGTGCTTCGAATTTACTTTGACTTTGTCTGGTGCCACGATTCCCACGGGATACTCAACAATATCTAACGCGAAAGCTCTTCCTTCTCTTACTTCTTCATCCTCTCTCTCTCTCTTGTTTCTACTCTAAAAAATCGACGAAAACCTTTTTATTCTTCTTCTTCTTCTTCTTCTTTACGGAATGCTATTAAAGAATCTCTGCACTTAAGGCTCGAACGAACCCGATTGTTTTTTTCTTCATCTTCTTCTTCCTGAGTTTTTATTTTCTTTTCTTTTTTTTCTTGTTTTATCCAACGACCAAGATAGTTCTCTTATCAGGTAGATTTCATTCACTGTCAAAGATTGAACTTTGAACGATTAAATATTGAATTAATTAGGATAACGATCCCATCTTGGGAAAAAGAAAGTTGATTATTGTTTTAATTACTCTCTCGTGACTCGTAGTAATTTGTACGGGTTAATTTAACAATTTGGATAATACCGGAATATGCATTAGATAAATAGTCTCTAAAGTTTTGTTATTTTCTTTTTTCTTTTTTTTCAATAAGTTTTACATAAACGATATTTTTAAACATCAAATAATTGCATGCCAGTTCAGAAAACGAATGTTACTTTTAAGATGACTTTAAATTAAAAAATAAATCAACAAAATGTTAAACGAAATCATTTTATAATTCTATCTTATGGATATAAATAATTATAAACAAAATGTGTGTTTTATAAATTAATTTATATTAATCTAAAATAAATCATAAAATATGAATGATTTCAATTCGTTCACTTATTATTAGTACACTTTCATAATTACTGGTACAGATATGCATAATAATATATTGAAACGTTGTTGTATATATACCTACATATATATATACACATATATACATATACATGTAATAACGATTATTTATTTGTCGTGTTGTTATGCGTTTGCAAAACTGATTTTGCAAGCACGTTGATATCTCAGAGTTTTCGTAGGGTTGCGTTTGCAATAGGACTTATTTATTCGGTAATGATGCACGTGCGGGGCTCCTAAATCCAATAATGATTCAAATACCACGATCAAGGATATGGTTTCTTCTCGCTACGTTATTTCTCTGTCTCTCACATCGTCGTTAATTATATAAACACTCTTTGAAAATCTTGCATCGGTCCATCGTCGGGCTTCAACCAAGCCCCCAACGATTGCCCCTTTCTTTTAAAGGTTTCCGAAAACGTTTTCTTCCCTAAGGAAAATAATTATAAAATTACTTTCTACCTCTTTCGTGGTTTCAAATTCTTCTTCTTCTTCTTTTTTGTTTTTCTCTCTCCTTCTCTCTCTCTACTTTCTTGCCTCTTTGTATTTTTTTAATCCATTTTTTTTTATTTTCTCTTTTCGCATAGTCACGACTTCGTTAGATTGGATTTAACAGATTTACAAATTTAAACAAATTTTTTTTGTCACGTCGGATTAGATGTCACGAATGATACCTATGAAATCAATTTATATATATATATACATATACATATACGTCTCACTCATCGATTGTGTTTTTTTATTTTTTTTTTATTTCGATTTTGTCAATACTTCGATATAAATCCTTTTTTTCGCATTTGTATAAACTAAGGTTACAAATTCTAAATTTTTATATTATAATTATCATTAATATTTTTCGATGAGAGAAATAGCTGAATTCTAATTCGCGTTTGTAATAAATATATGAAAAAGAACAAAAATATTGAGATGAACGTACGATGAATGATTAATTAATTATCCAAAGATGGAAGAGGAATCAGAAATAGAAGGAAAAATTGAAGAAGTAATTGTGGATACAAATGGGACGAAAAGTGAAGAAAAAAAATCGAAAAAGAAGGGTAAATTTCAAATGGATAAATGCATGAAAGATAAGTGGACCTGCGAGGAGAATGCATTATGGCGTATTTATATGAAAACGTAATTGATCCAAATCATTTTCTGTGTGTGTTTATTTGACGACTAGGAACAATAATTTATGTGGGTGTTATATTTGAGATTGTGATGCAAAAAATAATATTCATAATTATTTGTAAATATTTAATTGAAATACTTCGATCGTTTAATTGTTGAATGATCAATATTTAGTTGTTTAAACGACCTTTCAAATTTATGGTTACGTTCAAAAGGCGTAGTTTATATTTCGAAAAGTTTCTACTGTTTTACGTCCCATTTTAAACTCATACAACAAAAAACCCGCTCAAATTTGCTTCGTTTTTTTTTTCACTCCCCTTCTCCATGATAAATTTAAAGATTTAAATTCGACAATACCGAAACACTACCTCGAAAATGATCAATAGTTGCTATTTTATTCTTTTAAATTGTAGTTTTACTGGATAAATGATAATTTACGAATAAATCGGAGGCAACGATAAAAAAAAAAATGAAAATTAATAAAAAGTATATTAATTATTATTGCATTTAATTTAATATGTTGTCACATAAATGTTAAACAAAAAAAAACACGTTTGAAATACGTACGTAGATATATAGAAAGGGAGGAACAATTAGAGAGGGAGGACAAATTCAAGCATAGGAAGGCAGGGAAACTTCCGAAATTACCTCGTATAAAGTCGGTAGAAGAGATAGGAACACCATACAAATGCATGCCATTAAATGCTTTTCAATTCGAAGCTGAAACCGTGCTACCCGATAAGCTAGAACGTTCAAAGATGATCCGAATTTGGAGAAATATGCGTGGGGATCGTACGGTTTGTAAACAATATTATTCAAGTAACATTCAACAAAAATTATTTGGGATATTATAAAAGATAATTAAATGACGATATGAATTATCTATAATCTTTTGCGATTTAAAATTCAAATATCGATGATAGATCAATATTATTTGTTGTTCCGTCTAATTTATGTTTTTTTTTTTTTCTCAACAAGAGAGTGTAATCGATCGATTTACAATTTGGATTTTCATAACAAATAAGATTCTTATTTTTTTTTTTTTTCTTTTGTAATTTCGTATAATATTTATCATATAATCGTATTGAAGTATTTATAAGTTGATGTGATTTAATTTTTTGTTTTATATATAGTATATACGATATAAAAAATATGAATTATTATATAAATTATTTTTGATTTGTCTCGTAGGCTAATATACAAGATTCATTGATCGGAGTTAAATCATTAGGATCAAAAACGGATAACGAAAGATGGCCTAGTGTGTGGCCATGCGATACGCGTGATTTTTTCACGGAAATAGATGAACGCGATAGATTGGAAGAAAATAAAAGGAAGGATATATTTCCTTGCGATAAAATTGAAAAAAATATTGGAGAAAAATTGACGCGTCGATTGAAAGAGGATTTTGCTATGAGAAAAGAATTGGGACACGCGAGATTACCACCGATTTGTTCTCCTAAATTAAACAAATTTTATGTTGATCGTGACGCCGGTGAAAGGCCTGGTTTAGTCGATGGCGATTATGTCATTTTTCAATTATCCTCGAAGAAAAAAGGTGTCAGAGTATACGCCGATGTGTGTCTTCGTGGATTGAAGGGAATGCATTTGGTGGAATTAGGATCTTCTCGAGATCGTCAAAAAACGTGGAAATTTTGTTTCTACCAAGCTGTCGTTGCACTTTTAGCGAAAACTCAATTGAGGTATTATATTCACGTGAACATTTATTTTCATATTAAACGTTAACGATAAATGAAACAAAAAAGAAAAAGAAAAAAAAAAAGATAAGAAAATTCAGGATATTCGCGAGACGCGATTGTCGGTGGTGGTGTCGTTTTGAAAGATTTTTCAATATAAATTTATCGGCTTATTTATCGTACGTGTTTAAAAGAGATTCTCTATTTCAAATTCAAACGTATAGGATAATAATTCAACTAACAAACGGTTTAATTAATACCCGTATAATGTATTATTAAATATATTGGGATTCTCACATTGGGGTACGGGCATTTGTTCGATTTACAATCGAGCAGGGTATAGTTATATCTCGGAAAATGTAACGTTAACACTTATCCCGCTAATTGTTTAGCATCAGTTTCGCGAATATATGTATGTACCTACTAAAAGCCAAACGAATATTATTTCATACTGAATATTATACGAACCGTTGACAAAGCGCCACGTTTAATTAGGTTCATTTGATCGCCCATTAGAATTCAATGAGAGAAATTGATTGGCTGGCTACTATGTAATGTATTTAAACGTTTGATATTTGACTTTACGTTTAAGATATAAGTACGCTTGGAGCGTGAACATCGATTATATTTACGACCACGCCTGGATGCTCTTCACCCATATCGGTTCCATCAATATCAAGGACAAGCAAAGGTTGGACGATATCATTGTATATAATTATAAGTATAGCGTTGAAATAGAATTGATTCAAGAAATGAACGATTTACCAATGATAACTACGATCGATTGGGAATTTGAAGAAAATAATTTCAAAAGGAAAGAATTGTTGAACAGAAAGGAATTGATGAACGTCAAATTAGAAATAGGTTCGGAAAAAATTGTCGACGAATATAAAGGACCTGTTCACAAGGCAACGAAAAATATTGAAGAATGGTTCGACAAATTGCCGATACAATATCGTAATTGTATATTTCGTACGACCAAATATTCATTGGCATTTTGGCAAGATGGTCTTTTCTGGTATTTGTATAATCCTTATAGATGCGATGAATTTGGTTATTGGAACGACGATGGTTACGCTTGTATCATGAAATTTTGTACGAGACAATCATTGAAAAGGCATTTAATCGTATTGTTACTTCGCGCGTATGTTTATGATATTCCGAAATCAAAAATACCGATTCCTGAATATGTAGAACCAATTCAAGTTGATCAGGATGATAAGGAAGTTAGGAAAATTGATGAAAGAGTAGAAGCAGAAGAAGAAATACCAGATGAAACAGTGGAAATTGTGGAAGAACAAAGAAAAGAAGAAACAATTATAAAAGAAGACAAAACTGAATCCAAAACCGAATCCAAAACTGAATCCAAAACTGAATCCAAAAAAGACGTATTTACGATTCAAATCTATCAAATGATTTATCACTGCTGCCAATTAAACAATCTTAAATTACTCGAACGCAAAGCAAAAGTAGCAACGCATCGTGTAAAAAGAAAAACAATCGACGATTGTCCATTCGATCCATTGGATTGGAGAGATCCATGTACGATCGAGCAAGAAGAAGGTGATGTTAAAGATGAAATAGAAAAACCAACGTGGTTAAAATTATTTAAGATGTCTTGGGCTAAATGCGGACCGTCGGCAAGGAAAAAATCATCCGGCAAAGATGTTGGATCAATTCCAAGAATGCGTTGGCATCAGTATCAAGTCGAAGAATCAAACAAATTATTTTCCTTATGGGGTGAACTTCACATAACCGACGGTATGTTCGATAGAGAGAACCGTGGCTTCCAGGCTTACGCTTGTTACGTTGTTTGCGCTGGTATGACAAGGATTATGGCACCGGAATATTGGAGTTCTAAGACTCTCGATGTAATAATCATGTGCGGTGACAGATATTACACATTAAGCAAATTGGAAGCTGAATTTAAATCAACTAAACCAGAATACAGTCATGTCAGTTGTTGGGACAGATATCTAATGAGTCATTTCAAAATAGGTGATACAATGTTCGAAGCTAATGTTTTACCAGCCATTTGTGGTAGACTTTATACTAAAAATAACAAACATCTTTGGCAATCTTTAGAACAAATGTTTATGAAATATCACTTTGGGATATTGACTTGCGAAAGTTATTGTCTCGGTGTGTTCAAATTTTGCGGTGCTTATTACATGTGCGACGTTAATTCATTCGGGCCACCGTTGTTTCAATACGGCGAAGGTGCAGCTTATTTATTAAGAGCAACATATTTTTATAAATTCATGATCGTTCTTATCCTAACTATAAGCTCACCAGAATGCAGTAGATTTTCTCTTAATCCGATTGAGATACTCAAAGTTGTTGACATTAATACTACAGGACCTGCCGATTTACCTATCGGCAAACCGAAAAGAACTGATTACAGGGGTAAGAGAAATAAAATTGTATGTCCTTATGACGAGGATAAAAAAAGACAAATGAGAAAATGGAAGATTAGAAGAGCGGAAGAAAGGAAAACTATCGATAAAACGTGCTGTAAGACTGAAGATGATGCTTGAATTGAACAACATTTTGTAACTATATTATTTACGTATGTTAATCTCGTAAACAAAATTCTTTATTTCTGTAAACTTGATATTGAAAAACAAAAGAAGTAAAGTTAAATAAATATAATTAATTATTTAGCAGGTTTTCGGACAAGTGAATAAACACAATTGTTAATTATCCAGCATAATAATAATAATAATAATAATTAATAATTAATAATTGTGTTATATTAACTTGTACACAAGTCTGTTAAATTATTATTATATTAAAATATAAATGCGAAAATAAATGATAGATAAGCTGATAGTCTTTAGGTTTCAATATAATATCATCGTGGATCTTATTAAATGTGTACAACCCAGCGTGACTTAGTTTCTAATCGCCCTAAGGGTTTTTGTACTAGTATAGGAACTTGCCTAAAACTTACCTTTCACTGAACTAGCACTCAGCAATATCTTTGGCACTCCTATAGGAAGTTACTTTTACGTATACGTAGGTGTACGTATATGTTATTATTACTTTGTAAAATCTGTTAATTCGTGGAATAACCAGTTAAATCCTGAAGTAGCTATACTGATTTATTAAAGGATGAGAGAATGCAGAATTGCATACTTCAATTAAGTAATATACCGATGACATATATATATGAATCTAAACCTAGATATACCTATATACTTTCCGATTCATATATAAAAACAATATTCTATATGTGATATTTAAAATAAAATTAAAAAGGGAAAGAAGAGAAAGATTTAACAGAAAAAAGAAAAAAGAACTTTTCTACACACGAGCGACATATTTTTTAAGTATTATATTAAATAGATATATAGATAATAAAAAAAAAAAATTGAAATCTTATTATCTGTTAGATGCAATAATTTATTTCGTTTATACACATTCATCGTTAGCCATATTTACAGGTAATATTTACATTCTACTTTCCGTATTTACAGGCTTCCCCCGATTGAGAATAAAAGTCTATTTTTGGTGGCTTCGATGGCGACGCTTGGTTGGGAAAAAGAAAAAAAAAACACAGAAATAACAAAAAGAAAAAAAAAAAGATTTTGAATAAAATCCATTAGCGACTACGCGACTTCCAAATCCGAACTGTCAGTTTCTTGTTCGTGTTGTTGCTGTTGTTGCTGTTGCTGCTGATGCTGCTGTTGTTGCTGTTGCTGCTGTTGTTGTTGCTGTTGCTGTTGCTGTTGTCTGGTCAAGGCCAAATGATCGGTAACCCTAATCGATGCAGTCGATACTCCATCCTCGTTGTGTTGACGTTGTTCCAGCTGGAGTTTTCTCATGCGTTCTTGTTCCTCGCGTTTTTGTTTGCGCCACTTGGCACGACGATTCTTGAACCATACCTAGAACACGGATTGCTTTATGAAGGAAGCCCACCGATGGACGATTGCATTTGCATTTGTGGGTATTCCCGAACGAATCCCGTTCAGATAGAAAGAGAGAGAGAGAGAGAGAGACGAAGATCGTTTTAAGATTGAAAATGATAGTCGTGCAATATACAGCGCCCTAACCGATTCAACCCTCGAACACCCTTTTCGATCACCCCTCCGTTCCACGAATATTCCCTTCCACGTATATAAATACATGCATACACTACCGGCATAAAGTTTATAATCGTTTGCTAATTTTCATTAATATTATTTCGTTAATATATAAATCAACGTTATCAACAGAAATTGAATTAACTTTTAAGAGAGATTTCAATATTTTCTTATATTTATATAATTATTTTTTGTTTATAATTCATACGTTCAGTTTATGAAAATACTCGGTATGTATGATACTTTCCCATTGGGATATTTTTCTAAATTCTTTTACGAGAAGCATCAATAAATTTTTAAGTAGAAATGCTCGATAAATTAATAAATACAATTTTTGAAATATGTTTTGTACTAACGTTAATGATCAATTTATAAAGTAAAATATTTATTCCTTGATAAAGAAAAATGATGAGTCAGTATTTTTCTAATAAAAAAATCTACTGTGGTTATATTACAAAGGTATTGATTTTTTCTTATATATAAATATCATGTTTCTTTTGAATTTACTTAAAGATTATCAATCTTTTTGCCGATAGTGTGTATATATCTTCGATTAATCACACAATTATCTTAAAATCATAGGTAATATAGCGCGCGCGCGCGTTTACTTACAAATAATGATAATCATAATGGCACATTGCCAAAAGGAAAAACTAAATAGTAAAACAGGCTGGTACTGTGTTTTCGACGTACGCTACACATCCGTAGAAAAGAATTTTAATAACAGTTAAATCGTTATGTGTTTTATACCCGAATACAAAAACGAGAAAGATAGAAAGAGAAAAGAGAGAAAGAGAAAAAGAGACAGAGAGAGAGAGAGAGAGATGAAGGTACTACCTACTACATAATATGCAACTGGGAAGAATATATCATCAAAGTTTCAAACGTAAAAAATTATGCAAACGAGGAGAACTGTTTTGTATATTGCATTATTCAAACGCGTGCAACATGGAAGATTAATTTTGCTCATAATCCTGTCGTCTACTTTTTCATTATCATCTCCGAAAAGTTTTTCACGCCGAGGTTCAAGCGTGAAGCAAACACGAACAGTTCCTATCTTTTTCTCCCTTTCATTCTCTCTACCCCCCACCCACCCACCCACCCCTTCACCTCTAACTCACTCATTCTCTCTCTCTCTCTCCCTCTCTTTTTAACGACACCCTTTTTAAAAAGTATCTTCTAGTTAGGAGAATAATTGCTCGGGGCATCTAGCACGTAGAGAGCATTTCATTTCATCCATTAATGTGTGTACTCGAATTGACGATGATTCTTAACGAGGGGGCTGACGAAAGATCAAACGGCCCACATTTGGAAATCACCATTTGTCCCTTACGCCTGTCCGAATAGATTTGCAAGCTTACGTGTGTACGACAATCGATATCTATATTACATTTAGAAAGGTTACATTTCTTTTTCTCGAAGAAATATACCATTAACAAATTGTTTTTTTTTCCTTTTTCTTTCTTCTTTCTTCTTTCTTCTTGTCTACATTTAACCAAAGTAAAATGTAGTACCTCAACGAAGACGCGAACGAATTTTATATCGAACAAAAGAATATATATATATAGAATTGTTATATTAACAGAGAGACAGGGGGTGTTAATTTACAAATGTTGTCAAAATACAATTTTCCAAATATTTCAAACGAAGTATTTTGTCCGTCGACAAAATACGTTGATTATTAAATCAATCTTACATAAATTAAACGTATTTATTTAATATCTTTCATCAATTTTTATCGTATTATATATTGACGTTTTAAAAATAATACTTATCGGTCTCTAAAATGTAATAACAAAGAAATCCTAAAAGAAAAACACAATGACAAATATTATCGAAGAAAATAAAGTCAGCGAGAGTAATCAGCGATGGTTGGTGGTGTTCAAAGTGTTAATGGACGGATGATGAATGAATCCTAGGAAAGTAAACGATGATAGGAATGGAAAAAAGAAAGAACAAGAAAAGAACAAGTCAAGAAAAAGGTGGAAATAATCTAAGAAGATCCGTCCCGTCGTGCCTGGTGCTTTATTCGTATCTTGGAAATAAGCGTGGAATCGTCTCGTAGGAACAAACAAAAATTCCCTTCTTACTTTCTTCAAACATGAGAATACTCGAATAGTCTGTGTTCCCATTTGGCCGTGTGTCCTTTTCTCTTATGGGTCCCCTTCTCCCTCGTCATTTCTCTCGTCTCCTGTTTCATCTCCTTCTCTTCTTCCTTTTTTTTTCTTATATATTCGTCTTGTTCTATGCATCAAAAGTCGCTTTCCTACTAATTCCGTGCAAACACGTACTAAAACGTAAAACGTTAGGCTAGCTAGCTAGCTAGCTGGCTTGCTTGCTTGCTTGCTTGCTTGTTGCGGCAGGTGCAACTCAGGTATATGTTGTTTCTAAATCTTTAAAGACTCTCAAGACGAAGGATTCTCTTTGTCAAAGCCGACTACGTGGGTGGGCTCACGGTGGCCGGCTCGAGTGTGAATGACTTTACGATAGCTTTAGCGTACGTTATTTCGGTACAAATTGTTTGTCATGAACTTCAAACGTTTCACATTTGTTCAAATATCTTCTTTTAATGTTAAACTCTTATTTAAAATATTATTCGATATTCCCTTCTATTTCCCGTCATTTTTTATTATTACTCTCTCTCTCTCTCTCTCTCTCTCTCTCTCTCTCTCTCTCTCTCTCTTCAACTCTTACCGTCGGATTAGAACAATATTTTTCTTCGTGTGTTTAACATCGTTTACTTATTGTTAGATTTCCTTTTTTTTCCTCTCTTTCTCTCGCGAGATTTTGACTCGAATCAATTAATTGAATAAATAAAAATTGTTCTGTGTGTGTGTGTGTGAACGAGATCGAGTGAGTAATAAGGGGTAGGGGTAGGGGTGGCAAAGCAGAGAAGAAAAAAAGAATATTACTTACTATAGAGTGTGATACTCAATATGTGTGTCAACGTTAACTCAGAAAACACATAAACTCTTTCAATACATTGTAAGTACACAGAGAAAATCGTAATGTGTTCTCTCTCTCTCTCTCTCTCTCTCTCTTTCTATCTATCTATCTCTCTCTTTCTCTTGTAAACCATTATGAGTGTGAATGTATGTGTGACACGCGTAGACACACACGTAATTATAGCTGTGATCGAAGCAAACACATTATCGGGTAAAGCTTTTAATCTAGCAACCAGCAGCAAACTTGTTGGTTTAAGTTGCTCCATATGCGATAAATAATCTCCCACTCGCTAAATTTTAATAGACGCATTAAAATATTATTGGCTTTTGTCCATTATAATATCAAACAAAGGAAACGCAGTGGCTGCCACCGTGTTCACGTATACTTAGGCTCGTCGTAACACTGGGGATGATGATGGACCGTAAAGTTTGTCGACGTTACAAATTGTGCGTGCAGCCCCTCAACCGTATACGGATGTTCCCAATGTTTGTCTCTTCGAAACCCAATATTCAAAGTAATTTGTCTATCAGGCATGATTTACCATCATTTAAATACTATTTTTTGTGTATCCTACCTGTCACTAATACTTCATTATCTCATATTTTATATACATAGAAAATATTGACAATCCAATAATCGAAATAATTTGTCTATCAAGTTTGATTTACCATCGTTTAAATAATACTTTTTAATAATCCTAATCTATTATCACTGATAATATAATTAATTCTCTCGTATTTTATTTATATACGTAAAAAAAATATCTCGATCACAACGCGCGCGATGGTATATTAGTATTAATATAATAATTATTAGAATATTATTATATGATCTCTTTTGAGGAATCAAACAATAAGATTTCGTTTTTCTATACGTTTTTTTTCTCTATATTTGAATGATCACATAGATAAAATAAAAAAGAAACTCACCTCGATTCTTTCTTCCTTGAGATCAACTTGAAGTGCCAATTGTTCTCTAAGCAACACGTCAGGATAATGAGTTTTATCAAAAGTAGCCTCCAATTGTTCCAATTGTTCTTCGGTAAATATCGTCCGATGACGACGTTTCCTTTTCGTCATTGGACCAACACCTGGCGTGCTTGGATTCATTTGATAAGGATGACCAGCGTGATAAAACGTTGGTTGCCCATGAAGGGATACTCCAGCTGCAGCCATAGCAGCTACGTATTGTCCTGGATATAAGGCAGGATATGCGGCGGCTAAAACACAACGAACATACAGTTTTTTTTTTCATTATATAATATACACAATACACAATAATTATATATATCACAAATAATTAATATATATTAATAAAAAATGACAATAGTATTTTTTTTCATATAATAGAAAAACTTTGGATATTTCATATATAAATAAACACAACGAACCATTATTTTTTTAATAACGAAAATATTGACATTACTTATTGACCAATTTTTAATAATTATCACAATATTTTACAGATTACTAAGAATACTCTATAAAAATAGAATTATTCTAATACAATTTATTCGATTAATAAAAATGTAAAAGATAAACCCATTTTTTTACTGTTTAAAATATAGTAAACACGGAGTGATGAAAAGGGAGAAACCGACGGGAGTTCCCATTTGATGGTTGCAAAAGGATGAAAAAGCGAACGAACACGAGCTCGATCCCGTGGGACGTTTTAGTTTAAAATCTCGCAACAACAACAAAAAAAAGAAAAAAAGCTTCTTAGACGCGACGTCTCGCGCATAAAAATGCACGAAGGGTGAATTTCAGCTTTTATCGAACTTCCTCTCTATTTCTATCTCTCTCTCTATCTCTCTACTTCTATTTTTTCTTCTTCTATCTTTTATCACATCGTCGTTTTTCTCTCGTATAGTTTTTTCTCTCTTTCTTTCTTTCTCAAGCTCCGGACAGGATTGCAAGAGGAGGCAAATCATTCGTGCGTGATTGAAACGGATTTCAGCACGCGCATCCCCAACAAGAGCAGAGACTACTCGCAAGACTCTTTGCCTCGTGGAAATACTTAAAGCCCTCCAGGCATAAAGGAAATTTCGGTACGAGAAGCGTCGAGCCTCAAGGGATTTGCACGTCGTCGTTCTTTCCTTTTCTTCTTTTTTTCTTTCTCTCTCTCTCTCTCTCTCTCTCTCTCTTTCTCTATTTTTCTTTCTTTTATTTTTTTTTTTTCTCAACTCGTGACCAAAAGATAGAAGATCGCTTCGTTTCAACGCGCATTAATAAAGTAAAACACGAATTAAGATTTGTCTCGCGATCATGGTTTTTGTTTTTTTCTTTTTTTTTTTTTATTTTATTTCTTTCTTATTTTATAAATATAATTTCTCGTAGATAAAAATGTAGAGTACAAATTATGCGATCAAGATTTGAACGAAACGTAAGTATTTATTTAAAGGGGGCCGGGGGGGGGTATATGATTAAATTAACGAGACAAAATTGTGTGGTGTATGTTTGTTTTAAAATATGATAAGGTGATTAAAACACACACCAAAAAAATCCGCCGATGTGAAGGCCAAATGATGAAGCTGTTGTTGAAGAGGGTGTATGGTTGTTGTCCTTGATGGCGAACCGACGCTTTCCGGATTCTGTATCATAGAGTTTAAGCTCGTAGTACTGGTAGGAGGTATATTAGCGATTGGTCTAGGTGCTAGAATACTGTCTATGGTAAATAGAGAGGTTGGCGAAGACATGGTAGCTGAGGAACTTGGCCTTGAGATTTCTCGAGGTCGATAACCGGCTTCTTCCGAACTCACTGGACTCCTGGAGAACGTTCTTTCACGTGACTCCACTTCGTGTCGCCTCGAGGATGCGTGATTTTGTGCATCGTGATTTTTTAATTTGTGTTGTGCTGGACCTTCCGGTGAATAATTGTATAAATAACGATGATTGTAACCGGATATACCGGGACCATCTTGAAGAGGACTCGATGGTTCCGTCATCGGTGAACGTGATCTTGGTGAATCACCAGCATAAATACTTTCTACCATGTTACGTGATTTGATATTGCTCGTCTTCTTCTTCTTCTACTTCTTCTATTTCTTCTTCTACTTCTTCTTTATCTTCACAAGTATTAGACAGTAGTAGAAACGAAAGAAATTTTTCCTTTATTGGAAGTACAAATATCACAGTATTCGAACTACCAAACTCACGATTAAACTTTTCAAGAATCCCTCTCTCCGAGTGTAATATGTTCGAAGGATAATTCGAAATTAATCATCAACGATCTTGATTCAGAGAGAGAAGAAGAAGATTATAGATACACCACTAATCTACACATAATTAATTAACAATAATCTCGAATATTATCGATCGTTAGATCACAACAAGTACTTGGTAACACCACGATCAGCCATTGTCGTAATTTTCTTTTTATCATCGCGCACTTATCTCATCGTCATATTATTACGATCGTAACAAAAATTAATATTGTCGCATACGATACAATAATAATAATAATAATAATAATAATAAAACCCCAGATATAAATCGACGATTAAACCAACAAAAAAATTAAATCTATACTTTCCCTAATATATAAACAAATATATAAATATGTTTTTCTCGACGATATCGAACACGAAAATGGAGGTTGGGTGAAAATATTATAATGCAAAAACAAAAAAACAGGAAAAGAACCGAACCGAATCGAATCGATGGGGAAAAAAAGTAAACTATTGATACGATAGATACGTTAAAATAAGTAAAGTTCGATATTTAGAAGTTTGATGACACGCGTGGATGTTATGTGACATCGCGGTGATAAAAGATACGACTGTGATTCGACTTCGGTGCGCGCGGTGACCTCTGTGGTGGTTGCGTTCGTGTCCCTCACCGTAGGACGTAGAGACGAGAGCCACCCCCGAGTTGAGCTGAACCGCGGGGATAGAGACACCCTCCGATTTCCACGTTCAACGTTTCTACAATCGGGGCGTGGCTCTTTCAGGCTCCACCACTTTTCCACCACCCTGGTTCACGAAGCGTTCTCTTCTTCCTTTCCTCCCGTCATCCCTCTACTCCTCCTTCTGCATCCCCTTCGATTCCACAGTTCCAACAAGAGAGAGAGGGAAACAGTGAGAGAAGGGGGGAGGGAGGGAGAGGGAGAGAAAGAGAATATCAGGATTACGGAGAGGACGGAAGAGGAGATGCAATATCGTGGTGATATTGGTGTAGGTAGGGGTGTCGAAAGCATGCCAACCGGACACCCCTTGCAACTTCCCACCCCCTATTATGTACTCTCTCCAATCTACTTCTAGCGTCTCGTCGACGGAAACATTGCTGATATAACAGAGATATGGAAGCCTTCACCGACAACGTACTTAACATAGATAATCATCGAGACTTTCTCAACGTATTAAACAACTTCTCGATTTACTCGTGTTTCCTCGTGTATTGCGATTTGGGATCTTTTTTTTTTTCTTTTTTCTTTTCTTTTTCGTTTTTTTTTTTTTTTTTTTTTTTTTTTTTTTATTTTATTTTCTCATTCTTTTTCTTTTTTCTCGTTGTTGTTTTTTTTTTCTTCTTTTTCTTCTTTTTTTCTTTTTTTTTTTTATTCAAACAATATTCCGTTTATCCTTTTATTAAACGTACGATTAATTATGAGACACACGCGCGTATATTATTTTATATATCTCGTTCTTCACTTCGCGAATTTGTTTTTTTATTTTTGTTGACAGTAAACAGAATTTTTCTTCGATCAATTTAATAGGCTATAAATATAATAATTTATTATTATTATTATTATTATTATATATTATAAATAATTGTGAAAAGGTTTTCTTCTTTTCGTTTAGAATTAGATGACGTAAGCTTAGAATTATCATGGCTGTCTTATTCACCACCCTCGAATCTGTTCAATTATTCAAATCCCGCCCAATGCGTTCGTATTAATAGCATAAAACCGTTGTAATGCGCATTGACTGTCATCATCGGTCTTATTCGTTCTATGTAAGAGGGTGGGGAGGGATGATGATACTCGCAATACGATACGCAGAGAGAACCGAGCGTGAAAAGATTTTCAAGGGGTGAGGGTAGTAGTATACGTACTCCGACATTGTAAAGTAAACCCTCCGCCCATCGTAGGGCTCATAGGTACGTCCCTAAGCTTTCATTTCCATTCTGATGCACCAAAATCTGTGCCAACCTTAATCCTAATCCGTACGTTAATCGTGACCCAATCCGGAGAACCAGTTTCTAGAACGTGTATCCGTCTCGAATTAAGCCACTGTTAGAACCGTTTATTTAATTGTTTTTTTTTTTTTTAGATTATTCATAATTCATATATACTTGTAATGATTTTTTTTTGTTACAAAAATATTTATCTTATTTCCTATTGATAATGATCAATTAATTATTGTATACGTTTGGTTAATAGTTCTAATAATAATACAATAAGATGGGAATCATATGGTGGTCGTAAGTGCATCTTAAAAAGACATATGGGCATCGAACCACGGACCTACATCATTGCCAACCAACGAGGATCAGGATTATCCTCTGCGTAGGATTATTCCATGCTGTACAGGATTTGGTGTTTGCATCCGTGTCTGCGATACGTCGATAGTTTCGTGAGGAATGGCAGAAATAGGAGTCTGTCATTGTTAAGATATATATATATATATATATATATATATATACATACATATATATGCTACCATTCGATTGGTTAATGTTCAATATTTTCGCTGAAATTTTCTATAAGATTCGATTTATATATAATATACAACGTTTTCACGATTTCAGAGAAAATACCTTTTCAATTATTATATTATCAGACACACACAAAAAAAAAATACAGAAAAAAGAAAGATGAAAAGAAGAGAATAGAAAATAATAGAGGGGGCAAAAAGCAAACAAATACGAAAAAAAAAAAATAACCAGACTTAGGTAAACTTCTTCAAATAGATCTACATATTCTCTTTTTCTTAAAATATATAATATATATACACAGGTATATTTTCTAATTTTTATATATATATACATATTATATATTATACATATATAAAATATATAACCGGTTTAAAAAGTTCTCTCCGCGGGAGAGCTGGCCATTGGAAGATTAAAATTTTCTCGGTAATCATTGAGAATGGCATCCTCGGCGCTAATGCGACGACAATACAGATGTTTTCACGTCTAAGCGGCGTGCTAAGTGGATGTTCCCCACCCCTTAGGCGGCTCCTATTCCAAGCCACCCTTCTGAGATTCGTGAAGCGTAGAGAGAAGGAAGGAAGAGGGTTTTCTCTCTCTCTCTTTCTCTCTCTATCTCTCTCTCTCTCTCTCTCTCTCTCTCTCTCTTAACTAAAGACCGGTATGGTATATGCCAAGCTGCCGGCACGTACTACCTGAGTTCATCTAGGAGAAGAAGTCTCTCTAGGAGACATCTCTTAAAAGAGAAAAAATCTTGCTTCCTTCGGATTCGTTAGTTTACGTTACACTTGACTGGACGCCTTTTTGCCTTGAGGTGGGGAAATAATCGACCAGAAAGATGAAAAAAGGAAGAAATAAATAAAGTAAAAAGGAGATGAAGAATTTGTAGGTAACAGAAGCCAATGGAAATTGATCCTATGAATTATCTTTTTTTTCCTATTCTATTTCTATTTCTATTTTTATTTCTCTCTCTCTCTCTCTCTCTCTCTTCTTAAACGTTTATTCTTTCTGTTACTTTTAAAAATACGCGTAAGTTTATACTCCCCGGGATGCATCCTCTTTACGTTAATATTTCGTAAGGCAATGGGGTATCCTTTTTTTTTTTCTTTTTCTTCGTACAAATTCGTAAAGCAACTTAACGAGAACGCCAACGGGAATTCAATACTACAGATTTATAATGCAAGATTTTCTTCTAAATTCGAGGATTTAAAATAAGATTGTTGAAAACGGGTTTCTCTCGCGGTATATTGTAATTTTTCTATTATATTTCTTTTTTTTTTCCCCTTTCGAGGATCGCGTTTAATTTTGTAATATCCGTTATGCGCGAAACGTGGATTGAACGTGCTAAGGACAAAAATTGGATTAAATAATTGCAATAGAATAATAATGATTCTCATTTTATTTCTTGAAAAGAGATCATAGAAAAATATTGAATTTGTTATTTTTTGTTATTAACTGTAGTACTACCACGATGAGATGATTTTCTTGTGTATTTGAATACGCGTATGCGTATTATGGGTGTATGAATAGAGGGGATCGATCGTAGATGAAAAAAAAAAGAAATGAAAAAAACTTGTCTTATGTTAGATGAAATGCCACCACGAGTTATAGAAAAAAGGAATAGAGCAAATATTTTTAACAAATTACGCTTACCTCGAGTACCTTGAAGAAAGTGTTCGTTCGTGCGTTTTTCTATCGTAGAACAGCCAGCCGGTCCTCTCTTTTTCTCATTCTCTATACATACCCCCATAACGCATAACGCAAATATTGTTTCACCACGTGAAATCGCACGGGGGCCGCGTCTTTCGACTATTTTCGACGATTCAACTGGTATCTTCAAAAGGCACCGAATCCTGTGAAATAAACGAAGAGGAAAAGCTGAGAAATAAAAGGACAAAAGGGGAAGGATATCTTGATGCACGCACTTAAAAAAAAAAAAAAAAAAAAAAGAAAGATGAGAACTGAGAGGATTGTTCTCTAATTTTTCTTACCTTTTCACGTATCCTTTTTTCCTTAATTCATCGTGCGAAGAACTAATATTTAGTTTGGACGAAACGTGAATAATGATCGATCGTTTCAACGTTTGTTCGATGATTTTTTGAAAATAAAAATAAATTACTAAAAATCTTATAGAAGAGAGAAAAGCCCCGTTAATTCTTTTTCCAAACGAAATAACTTTGGCTTTTCTTTCTTTTTTTTTTTTGTAAATAAAAGAATTTAAATAGATTTATATCTAATGTTATAACCATTGACAATAATATAAAAACAAAAAATAAGAAATTAGACTTATATAATTGTTTAACTAACATTCTATCAAAAATATATTTACAAACGAAAAGTACTATTTTGAAAAAAGTATAAGAGAAAGCGCTGCGTAATCTCGTCAACGATAATTTTCGTATACCATAATTAAATGCAAATGAACAAAATCTAAAAGTTCGATGTGAGACGATAAATAAATAATTAAAAAAAAAAACAAAACAAAACAAAAACATCCTCAAATTTATCATATGCATGCATGCATTTCTTTTTTTTTTTTCTTATACGAGTTCTTTTTTTTTCGTTTCTTCCATATAGAAATAATAATAAATAAGGGAATAAAAAAAAAATAAGAATAGAAGGAGGAGAATGATGATGATGATGATGATGATGATATATGTCAGCAGAATATGCATTCGCTCGTCTGATAATTGTTTAGTGGACATTCGTGGGGGCGACGATGCGCAACGATCGCAAATTTATTGACTCGTACGTTAATTACTTTAATTATTACACCGCTGTCAAAGGCTGATCGGAATACAAAGGAAGTTTATTCGACAGGGCAGTGCGTTTCCATCGCCCGGAGTCACCGATTGCCAATTAATTTTCCATAATTGGCCGGACATGCTCGCACGAAACGCGCCTTGACGCTCGTCGCACGAATGCGCCACGGAACGTAACAGTCGAACCGTACACGCATACTTGTATACATATGGTATAGTTCCTATGGTACACCCTATCACTCGCTCACCCACACAATTTCTACTCTTAAAATGTATCACTATACATCCCCGCCGGCCACGGCATCGTATTTTCACCGTATAGAACCAATTAACAGTTTTCACCTATTCCTTTTTAGTCGGTCCGATATAAAACAAGAGAGAGAGAAAGAGAGAGAAAGAGAGAGAAAGAGAGAGAGAGAGAGAGAGTGGAGAATCAAACGAACGAAAAAAGTTATGAGTGGCGACCTTATGCCAAAAAAAAAAAAAAAAAATTATATATATATATATATATATATATATATTATATGTGTATATGTATGCGTATATGACATTTATTGAGCGACGCCTCGGGTAGATGAATTGATTGCATCCATAACAGAGAAACAGTCTGTCTTGACTAGTTAAATGAATAAAAGAAATGACGTGTGTAGATTGAAACGTTTGTTATGTTGTTAACAATTTCTTTTTTTTTTTTTTTTTACTAATATCATTCATGAATAATACTTTTTGAACGAGATTGTATAATTCGTTCGTACGAAACAAAATATTTTCACATTTAATTTTTTTTTTATTCAACATTTTGTTTGGCCAAACAAAATTGGTATACATAAATTTATTACAAAAATTATTATTTATATTTCTTTACTATATATATATATATTTTTTTTTTGTTTTTGTTTTAAAAGAAAAAGAAAAAAAGAGGTAGGATATAGAAAGTGGTTAAAGAAATTCGTATAAGGTAAGCCAAAGAACCACCCATCTACTCACCAAGGCCTTTAACGGGGAGACTTTTTGGGAAGGCTTTTAAAGCTATTTTAGCGCGGATTTTGCTAAGTGATACCAATAACTCGGTGGGACAACAAGCGAAGCCCTTCGGGATTCGGCGAAGAATAAACGAAGGACCGAACAATCCAGAGGGATGTTATCTAATCCTAGTGGATTTGTTGATTCTACGACTTGCGTTTGGGAACGCGTGATGAGGTTTCCATGTAGTACTGGATTACTCCTATTTTCTATGACCTAAAACTTCCTTTCTTAACTGAAAAGACCCAGTTTCGTTTCGTTTATGTCATCAAATATAAACTTTTTTAGTTACTGTCTCTGCTCAACAAAAGCACCTAAAATACATTTTTTGTTTTTTTTTTTCATATTCATTAATGAAATATCAAATATGTAAAATACAAAAAGTATAATATAAAATTAACACAAAAGAAGATATAATATATACTTCATCGATTAATTTGTTTTTCAATTCTCGATGTATATCGTTAATCTTTTCTCGTTTCTTCTGCCCGAATGATAATAATAGAAAAGAGTAGGAGGCGGTGGAGGAGGAGATAAAAGAAAAAAGAAAGGGAAAAAAACAAGAATAACGTAACCACCCTCGTTACGGAGAGATTATTCTATTACACGTTACGTAAACAAAAAGTACAACGAGAACGTCACGAGAGAACTAATATATATATATATACGTGTGTGTGTGTGTGTGTGTGCGTGGCCATTTCTCGGTGGTTCCCTTTCGAGCATGCTGCTGTTTGATCAGAAAATACGTTATTGTTTCAGGACGATAAAAAATTCAACGTTTGGATAATTACATCAATCCTGATCGATTGAATTGCCTGGAGCTAACTTTCACTGTACTACTGACTTACTTAAAAAATGTTAAACCCCTAGTACCAATACATATATATATATATATCCTAATAACTTTAATAATTTATACATAAATATATAGATTCGAACATGGACAGTATTTTACAAAAATAAAATTATTATTTCAAATTGATTTTGTTGATTCCTCCGGATCACCAAACGTGGAAAGAGGGTGGGGGGGGGAGGGAAGGGGAGAAAAAAGAAGTAAAAGAAAAAAATAAGAAAAATAAGAAATCAGTTTTTGTTGAGACCGCTAGTGATTTGTAGCAGCTGGCAAGATCCTTTCTCCATAGACTCTCTCTTCTTTCGTATTACTTTCTTCCATGAACGGTATATCTCGTGCTGTACACAGTCTAATAATCCCCCTTGAAGAAGGATAGAAAACTTGCATGAGAGGAATGAACTGAGAAAAATAGAGAGAGAGAGAAAGAGATAAAGAAAAAGGACAAGGATAAGGCAAGCGAAGAAGAGAACCCGCTGTTTGCCTTTTATTAAACTCTTGTTAAACGCCGCCTTTCTTCGTACACACAATTGAATCGGCAAAACAGCGGAGATAATGCTTTACCAGTGAACTGTATACTAACAGTGAGGAGTGAGAAAGAGAGAAACAGAGGGGTTGAGGAAGAGGGAAGGGAGAGGGCGAATAGGGAAGGAGAAAACGACTGAATCTTAAGGGAAAAAGAGAAGGAAAAGAAAACGTAGAAGGAAGAGGACTTACCACAAACACCAGATTCTTATATACCTTGAAATGGACACCGTGTAATCCGGTTCTTTATACGACACTACTACGATACCATTCAGATGGAACCTATGAAGCGTGCACTTAGGAGAACAGTACTAAAATATATCCAATGTGGTGTTGGTGGTGAGATGATGTCCCGTGCGATTGGAATACAAAAAATCAAAAGAGTATAGTATAGGTATATATATATATATATATGTGTGCATGTGACAGCAAAGAATGAAAACATTTTGATGTTTTCTACAAATTTTCTCAGAGAAATAAACCCGGAAATTCGGCACACTTATTTATACACATTCACATAAGGATTATCTTGACCTATCTTGCATGTTCAATCCGCTAACGGATTAATTTTTATATACAATATTTTATTTTGTTATTCTACTTACAATGCGTGGTATTAAATTATTGTTATTTTTGTTGTTGTTGGGATATTAACAATATTATTATTAACGTATGATATTATATTGAGTAGTTTTTTTTTTTTTTTTTTAGTAGAAAACAATTTATTTTATACTTTATTTCAATATCTTTTATATACAGTTACACATGTTTTTTTATTTATTTATTTTTATTTATTCATTTTTTTAATGTACTCGTCGAATTCTTCAACGTGCTTCTTTTTTAAGAAAGTTTTGAAACCTGAAAAAATACAAAATTAAAACAATGGTGTGCACTAATTCTATGTGTTATCTTTTATATGATTTTTTTTTTATTTAATTACCTATGAAAAGATGCTGCAATTCACCTTTAAGTGAAAAGAGATATTCTAATGTTTGTAACAAATCGTTCAAATTACCAGTTGCAGTATATTCTTTTATGATCCTTCCAAATATTTGATATTTCTCTTCAGTTAATGATTTTTTTACCTGCAAAAATAAATTGGGTATAAATCTTTTTTTTATCTGAAAACACAGCTTTTTTTCTTTTTTTTTTTTTTGCAACAAATTCGACTTACCTTTTTGATATATGCTTTACCCATCTCACGTTTGTCTAATTCCTTATTACTTTCATCAGTCTTTTTTTGAAATTCATCAAGATTATTTACTTCTTCATGGTTAGAAGTTGAAGGACCAGGAAGATCCGCATCATATTTAGTAGAAATAATTTTGATTTTTCTTTTTTTTACAACATGCTCAATAGGAGAATCTTCTACTAAAGTACAATTATTACTACTTTTTTCTAATTTACAATGACTAAAATTTATCACAGATTTTTTACTAGTTGATGCGAACTTGGAAAAAATACTCTCCGTTTCTGCCTTATCGTTAGATCGTTTTTTCACAGTATTATCTATATACTGATCGATACTAAACGTTTCTTTTATAGTTGATTCTACTTTAGTATTAGTATTAGTATTAGATATTGATCGTTTTATTGATCGAGATGAGGTTGTATCAAAAGAACATGGAACAGCAGGTAACGATAAAGTACTACTGTTTTGACTAATTGACATTTTCGGTTGTGGAAACTATAAAATATATAATATCTAAATGAATAAATTATTAAAAAAAACAAATATTATATGAAAATATATATGATATGCATATATATTTCTTACAGCCTGTTGAGTATAACGAAAAAAGTTTCTGAGTTCTCTAGTAATCATTCCAAAGTTAGAGAATTTTTTAATATGGGGTCTAAGCCAAGCTGATAATTGTTGTTTAAAATGTGGATTTTCGAATCGACAATCGCAAAGAATTATAGCACCATAATCAGTTTTATGACGTATTATTCTACCAATGGCTTGATTAACGGCTCGAGAAGCTTCAAGTTGATACCATTGTTGTCCTGTTAATACCTAAATCAAATGATAAGATATCAATGGTATTATATTTTTTTAACGATATGAAGATTATCTTATTGAAAATATTACCTGTGTATCTTTACGTCGCATTTCTTCTAAATATTTTTGTTTCAACATAACCCTTGGATCTTTCATCGGTGGAAATGGAAGACCAGTTATTAATACTGCTCTTCCATTCGCATTAGCAAAATCTAAACCTTCACTTACTTTTCCTCTACAAACAGCCATAAAAATAGCTCCCTTACACGTTGGATCCTGTATTTTTTGATAATATTCGTGCATAATGTTTATAAAACCATCTTTTGATCTTGGTTCTACATATATGGTCTGTTTTATCAAACGAAATACATAAAAGAATTATTAATAATTAGCAAAATACTATAAAAATTTATATTTAATAAAAAATAAAATCGTTTTCGCGTTTTTGATTACCTTACTCTCACTAATTTGTGTCCATAAACCAGAAAATTGCCAATCATCTTTACACTTTTGCATAATTGGATAAGATGGAAAAAATACTAATAAACCATGTGGAATAAGACAACTGAAATTGTATATCGTACGGCCAAGAGATGCTATATATTTAGGATTATTTCTAAAAAAATCTATTATGTATTTTATTGATATTAACTAAATGACATTACTACATTAGATAAATATATATACTTGTTATACAATTACCTTGTATTAAAAGAAGAGTTAAGTTCATGCCCATCAGGACCTTGACTAAGAACGCCTATACACACCTGTTGTCCTGTTATGATATGCGGATTTTCAAGCTGAACGTCTATTGGTATTCCAAGTTCTAATATGAACGGTTTTAAAGGAGATAATGTACCGCTTGTCAAAATTACAGAACGAATACCTTGGTCTACTAATTGTTGTATGCTATATAGAACAAAAAAATATTTAAAATTTAAAAATTCATAAGTATATATTTGTACGAAATGAAAATATTTTGTTACCTAAAACCAGGACTGAAACACCAATAGTTAATAACTTTGCCTTCATTTTTGAGAGCTATTTTTTTCGTTTGCCATCCATCACTTTTTTGATTCTTTTTTTGCTCCTCCAATTGAATATATACTTTATAACATTGTTCAATTTTTTCTCTATGTTGCAGAGAATTTCCACTGCTGAATAATACCCTTAATACATTTATAAATTTTTGTAACGCGTTACCTTTCCTAGCAAATGGAGATGTATTGGTTGTAACTAAATAGGAAACGATCTTCTCCAGTTTTTCTATAACTATATCTGTTTTTCTATGAGTTAACTAAAAAAAAAATATCAATGTTAATTATACAGGTGGTCGAGTTAGGCGAAAGACCCTGTATATTATAAATATATAAAATATTTATATATTCAAAACGTTACCTCTGCTTTACTAAGCAATTCAAAAATATATCCTCCAGGCAATGTATCGCCTTCATCCTGTTTTGTAATTTTAATATCATCAATAGCTTTCTCTAGTTCTAAAAACATTGTTTTCAAAATGCATAAATCTTCCGGTGTAAAATCTTTTTGTACGTTTATAGAATCTTGTGATAAAAAATCAATTTCACTTTCATTATCTTTATTCTCTGTGCTAATATTTGTCATTACTGCAGTTATTTCATCAATACACATCGCTATATCCGTACTGCTTATCTGAATATAAAAATATATGTTATAATTAGTAAAACATTTGATTAATGATAGAAAAAAAATCTTTTTTTATCATTATCAAAATTATATTATACATTACTTGTAACGATGCTGCTTCTTCACAAACTTTCTCTACATTGTGTGCCTCGTCTAATAAGATTACATTATTTTGTACTTCTATTCCTTGCATTCTACGCGTTTTGGAATCTAACAAATAATTATAAGGCATGAACGTAATATCAGCATTTTGGTTTAACTCTTTTGCTAAATAATATGGACAACAATTCATCTTTTGTCCTGCTGAAACCAAATCTTCAATATCCAATATTTCTTGTTTAAAAAGTGATTCACCTTTTCTACAAAATGTGTTTTTAAATAATTTATTCTCATTAATAAAAAAAAAATGTACAAACAAATTAATCCAATATGTACCTTTTTTCAACATTGCAATAATAGAAACATGTTTTACTTTTAACTTTAGCTTGGCACATTTGTACTTTGTTATACGAGTTTGTTTCTTTAGAGACTTCCGGATGAATACAAAGTTGATCTCTAGATCCTAAGACTGATACTTGCACATGTTTATAAGTAGTACGCTTTAATTCTTTCATCGCTTGAGATAACTGCGAATGAGTTCTAGATGCATAAATAATTTTGGGCATCGCCCAACCAAAAGAAGCAGAATTATCTGGTACTCCTGCCGCTTTCTCGAGACCTTTGCTTATTTTATTAAAAAAGTGTCCACTCAAATCAGATCTTTCAATAGCTCCAACCATTGCTTCTGCTTGCAGTTGAGCTTTTTTTGTAATCAACCAGCTTAATGAGGAACACAAAAGACAAAGTGTTTTACCAGTACCTAAAATTAGTAACATTAAAAATAATTAAAAAAAAAAAAATTATAATAAATTCTAAAGAAAGAAAACAATCGAAATTTACCTGTCGGTGATTCTAAAACACCATGTTTACTATTCTGTAAACATTCTATAACCTTAGCCATATACTCTTCTTGAACGGGATATGGCTTAAAAGGAAAATTAATAACAATTCCGTTGATGGTTATATCAGACATATTTGTGTAATATAAAAAACAAACAACTTAAATTCTATCACAATCGAATAAAATAATAATATGTTTACGAAATGAAAGGAAGTATTCCTAAACTAACAGTATCATTTACCCGCCAAAATGTCATTCTAACCTAATTTAATCACGTGAGTGATGTCATCGAATTAAAGTGCATATTGCATTGGACTCATTGATGAAGATCATCTGATTGGTCGACTACGAAATTTAAATAGAACTTTACTTTTATCTAGCATTTAAATTTTAACTATCGACAGATCTAAAATATTTTATCTATGCAAATGCATATATTATAATATATTTGTGTAATATTAATTAAATAAATTAATTTAGTTATTTCTTTTTATTATATTTCGTAGGTCCAATCATTGGTTGTCATTAAAATTAATTTTCTTTCATTGGTAGATATTTCATATCAAGTACTTTCTTTTATGATAGCGTTAATGAAAAATTTAACACACGTACTTATTGCTTACGTTACTTAACCAATCTATTAGTAATCCTCTGCTAGTGTAGTAGTGTTTTATTTTATTATAACTATCAGCTGATTAATAGTGTATCTTTTTAGTGATTTACGACTGGCAGATTGGAGACGTATAAGGTTAGTAGAAAGAACGTATAACAAAGGCTCGTAAGCAATTTTTTTATATTTTCAAATTCAATTTAAACAATTTCACAATTATTTATTTATATATTTAAGATATCATCTTATAATTGACGTAATCTTTAAAAGATTATTTTAGAAGTTAGCCCTTGAAAAGTGAAACTATGTAAATACATAAGGATCGATATAAAATATATATTTAATTTAATCTAAATTTAATATTATCAAATATTTTATGTGTATAGATAATATGTTTTGGAAATTTCTTTATAATTATAAAAATCTACAAAATCTTTCTGTATTTCAATGTTATTCTTCACATTTAAAAGTTAAGTTTCTTTTTATATCCAAAATCTTATTAAAAAAAAAATAGAATTAGTAAACCTTAAAGCAGAACAATGGTATGCACTTTTTAATCAGAGATAAAAGATCATTGCCACGTTGTTATCACTGAAATGTCCATAAATTTATATTATACTGTATTGAGTACATATATAATGTGTATTAATTGTTAAAATATCCGTTATTTATTAAATCATTTGTATTTTTCTTATCTTTTTTAATATTTATAAGAAAAATGACAATATAATATATAAATAAAAACACATATGCAAATATATTTATATTAACATGTTCGCTATCAATGCCACATATTTGTGACACACCGATTTCCATTGAGAGCTGTGATACATTTGTGATGATAATTAACACAAAAAATAAGGTCTAGGCTGTGTTTAAAATCTCTTTTTTATAGTATGGTAGCGGATACGTTAATAAAGAAAAAAGAAACATACTTTTATAATGCATCAATATATATAATACTATTATTTATATTCCTCAGTGATCATCTGTATAACGTATAAAGAATTACAATGCGTTTAGTAATTTGTGATACAGTAGACTATGTCTCTGAATGGTCTGCTAAATATGTTTTAAAAAGAATTAAAGATTTTGAACCTAATGAAAACAAATATTTTGTTCTTGGTCTTCCTACAGGTAACTATTTTCTACTTTTTTTTATATTTTTCTATATTTTTATAATTTTTACTACTATTGTTGTTACTATATATTTAGGTGGTACACCTCTGGGAATGTATAAGAAATTAATAGAATATTATAAGGCTGGAAAAATATCTTTTAAATATGTCAAGACTTTTAATATGGATGAATACGTTGATTTACCAAGAGATCATCCAGAATCATATCATTATTACATGTATAATAACTTTTTTAAGCATATAGATATTGACCCCAAAAATGTTCATATTCTTGATGGAAATGCACCTGATCTTGTAAAAGAATGCGATGATTTTGAAAAAAATATTAAAGAAGCTGGTGGAATTGAACTTTTTATCGGAGGTATTATTACGAGAAATAGTGAAATAAATTAAATAGTGGATAAATTTTAGCACTTATAGCAAGAGTTATTATTATATAATATGAATTCTTTCTTAATATTATCATACATAGGTATTGGACCAGATGGTCATATAGCATTTAACGAACCAGGTTCTTCGTTAGCATCTCGTACTAGAGTTAAAACATTAGCTATAGATACATTGGAAGCGAATGCTAGATTTTTTGGAAATGATATCTCGAAAGTTCCTAAACAGGCCTTAACTGTTGGTGTTGGTACTGTTATGGATTCAAAAGAAGTAATGATACTCATTACTGGATCTCATAAAGCATTTGCTCTTTATAAAGCAATAGAAGAAGGAGTTAATCATATGTGGACGGTATCTGCATTTCAACAACATCCACGTACATTAATAATATGCGATGAAGATGCTACTTTGGAATTGCGTGTAAAAACAGTTAAATATTTTAAGGTACACATATATAGAATTATTTTTATATTTCGTAAATGTTTTAATATTATCACTGGAAGACAATTATTTCACATACATCATTAACTTTACTTTCTATAACTCCATTTCATTACTTAACTAGTTTAGTTTTGAATTTGTATGCTATCCAGGGTCTCAGTGCTGTACATCGTAAATTGATCGAAGAAGATGGAAATACAATACCACGTCGTTCAATAAATGACAGTTAAAATGGTAGTTATTCCCATACTCGTTAATATATAATTGCCATACAATATTCCTTGCTTAAATATCCTTTAGATAAATTGGTCATTCAATGTAAATCATTGGTGATTTTAAATGTTTTTTTTTGTCTTCATTAATCATTCATCAGATAACATCCGCCAAACTTGTTGCTTATTTTAACACAAGAATCTCGTTTACATGTTTCATTATTTAACATGCATACAATCATTAAAAATAATTCTTATGTGTAATCAAATTTTTCAGCTTTATTTAGAAGAAAAACAAATGCATTGTGGTTATTTCAGGGTTCTATCTGTAATTATATTTACCTCGTCAACTAAGTTTATTTAATTTCGTGTTAATTAAATTTTTCGCTTTTATATGGAACATCATTTTGCATTATAAACCTGTCATCTTAATGGAACTGCATTTTCTGGGACACCTTGAATATAATAATTAATTTATTACTTTAAATCAATAGTACTTTTATTATTGCAGAATTTATGGGATATCCATAGCAAGTTGATAGAAGAATCAAACCATGGATTACGTTGATGCAATAACCAATACCCTAAGGTGTAATGTAAAAGACTTCATGTGTGAAAAGGACTCGAAAGAATTGATCTGGAATTTCGGTTCAGACTATAATGGTAAAATATTTGACAAATATGCTGCGTCATAATCGTTTACTTATGTATTCCTCTTTTATGTGTTTATATATACATATTTGCACACATCTATATACATCCATACATATATGCATATGTTATATATATGTAAAATTTTAAATTGTACAAAAAGTGCATTATTTTTATACTGTTAATATCCATTTTTCATAAAATAAATTTATCCTTTTATCACATTGTCAAATACGTATATGTATTTATCGATTGTTTAAAAAAAAGAAAATGGTTAATAAATAATAGAAAAATGAATATCAAAACCATATCATATAAACAGTTAATGTGTTCTTATGCTGTATCCACAAAACTTCAGTCTGTCATTCCGTATTTTTGTCTTATTTTTATTCATGGATACACTGGCAAAATTTAACGGAAAAGAACTGGGTCACTTCATATATATATATAAATCTTCTTTATCAAGAAACTAAACAAATTCAGATATTTACGACCATGATTTTTCTTATACTTTTGATTTCATACTTTTGTATGTAATTTTGACAAAATAATATGTCATTGATAAAAATTACATCATTGTGCTATGTATATATATGTATATATATACAATACAAAATATATATATATAAATATGTAAATATTTTTTATCAAAATGTGATGTTAAAAAATTGACACTATAGCACAATTTGAACTAAAGTAGAAAAAGTTAATTCCAATTTAAAAAAATTAGAAGTATAATAGCTCAGAAAGTGATTCGTCATTAAAATAATGGTTACATCATTATTGAAACATTTCACATCTATATAACGTTTGACGCAAGATAGAACGAATGGGAGATTAGTGAGAGATTGCTATATTGCCTGAGAAAAGTAGATAAATGATTTAGTCACATTCAACAGATCATTTGTTTCGGATCGTTCTGTAAAAACCAAGATAAAATAAATACGAAAAAAATTATATTAAATAATTACATCAAATTGTGTAACATTCTCATAGTAATACTTTAATATTATTTCTTTCACACATTGACGTTATCTGTATTAAATTTATTACTCGTGGTAATAAGATTTCAAATTATTATTCAAACTTTTGTTATTAAACGATCATGGAAGCAACGCAAACGGACTTAATGGAAACAAAAGAAATAATATTACGGGAATTGGAACCATTGTTAAGATTAACTTTAGGTGATAAATTAATTGTTGAAAATTACACAACCACATCTTTTTTACCGCCTGGAGAAAATTATGGGAGTACTATTTTGGCTGTGGATGCTGTCATTAAAAAAGAAGGAGAAATGAAAAATGAGAATTTGCATATGATTGCGAAAATGGCACCACCGACCGAATTCCAAAGACGAATTTTTAAAAGTTCTTACACATTTAAAAAAGAAGCATTTATGTATGAACGTTTAATACCCTATTATAGAAATTTGGAAAGGGACTTTGGTATCGATGAAAGTGAATTAATCGATGTTATTCCCAAATTTTATGCTTTACGTTTATCCCTAGATCCTAACATTGACTTTGATGACAACGCTGTTATTTTGTTAGAGAATCTTCAAACACGTGGTTATTATACTGGTAAAAGACATATAGGTAAGTATATGATAATAAGTATCTATTTAAATGTGTGTGTATATATATATAAATAATAATAAAAAATAAAAGAAAAGAAAAAAGGATGACGACTGAAATAAATGAAATTGTACGAAGATAAAAAATTATAGAAACGCTTTTTATCTGTATAAGATAAGAATCGTAATAATTATCGTGTTTATCTTATATTTTATAGTATTATTATTAGTATGAATATGATAAGATTCATATATATATATATATATATATTTATAAATGTTTTATAACATTAAATAAGCTTTTTTGTTGATAAAAATATTTGAAATAAATTTTTTTGAAACGCAGGCGTCAATCTAGATCATTCTAGACTAGCAATTCGTGAATTAGCTAGATTCCATGCCCTTGGTATTGCAATGAAACATAACAAGCCTGATGAATATGACATAATTAGAGAAGGTAGTAAATGTCCTGAACTAGAAAAAGATGGATTTACCGAGTATTACATACCAATATTAAAACAAATCGAAAAAAGTCCAATTACTCGAGTTTATTACGATAGATGTGCTGCAGTATTAAAATCTGATAAATTTTTCGATTTATGGTTGGCTGAACCAGAAGGCGTATGGGCTACAATAATCCATAAAGATTTTTGGGTCAACAATGTGATGTTTCATAGCGATGAAAATGGTCACGTGGACGACGTGAAATTCATCGATTTTCAAAATTACATGTATTCCAATCCGATCGGAGAATTATTGTTCTTTTTACATTCAAGTACAGACGAAGATGTTAGGGAACATTATCTCGACGAATTAACCGATTTATATTACGATACTTTTATTTCTGTATTAGCTAAAATGAACTGTGATGTCGCACCATACAATCGTAAAAGTTTCGACGCGGGTTTTTTAGATATTTGTGAGGTAGAGTTTATACACTTATGTTTTATGCTCAAAATGTTAACTATCGATATAAATAAAACTAATTTAAATAGCTCTAATATCGAAAAGGTAATGGCGAACTATGAAGGTAATGAAATGTATATTAAAAGATTAGAAAGTCTAGTATCATATTTCGTAAAACGCGATTGGATTTAGTTGAAATTTTATTTGCTCTTTTTAAATGTTGATTGATTCGATTTTAATCATTTTTTTTACATATTTTATTTCTTTTCCCTCCATTCTTTTAATCTTTTGTATTAAATTTTTATTTTATTTGTATCATTACTAACTGAAGGTATTATAGTTGATTTATATACATACAAAGTATTATTTAAAATTTTAATAAAAAGATATTTTTAATAATATTTTACAAATGTACAATAAATAAAAATGTAGGCAGTATTTTTATTTTTTTATTTTTGGAACCTTTCTATCTCTATTTCTGTTCTTTACATTAGTAATTTCGTAAAAATTGCTTCCTATTTTCTTTCTCTTGTTTGCTCTTTCTATAGCTCTTCTTTGTTTGCTTGTTAATTTAACATGATTAATCTTATTTTGTTTTTCTTTTTTAGATGACACTATGAATGTACCACTACTCGAAAATGCTTTTGAACTGAACATTTCACTGTCACTGGAATCATAGTCATCTTCAATGGCATCAAATACACTTTGCATTAGATTATCTTTTTCTATAGATAGTGTATTGTTATTTTCTGAATTTCTTTCATCTTCTGAATTACTTGTATTTCTTTCAGCTGCAGAACAGTTACCGTTACTTTCATTTATATTCTCTTCCATAGCAGGATTAGTTGTATTCATTGTTGTTTCATTTTTATGTTCTTCATTAATATTTTCTTCTTTTTCTTGAGAATTTTCTTCAAGATTTACTTGTGATTCATTTAATGTATCAGTTATGTCGCTAACATCTGGTGTAAAAGATTCAACGTCCATCTCATTATCACTACAATTTAACTGTTCCAATTCGTTTTGATTGTAACAAATGTCTTTAACATCATCACCTGTGTACATCAATCCTACTTTAATTTTTCTAAGATCTTGTATTACGTTTAATTGTACTTTTGCCAAGTCTTTAGATGGAATACTTTGATCTTCTTGTTCATCTGTTTCAGTGATAGTGGTTGCATCATTTTCAGTAGGTATATTCTCCTCTTCTGTTGTTGCAGGTTTAGCTAAAGGTTCTTCAAAACCAGATGGTGCAACATAAAATGGCAATTTTCCACGTTGCCAATCATTAAGAACCATTCGTGCTGTGATCGTTATATCTGGTTCTCCTTTTTTCAAAAGTTTTCCACTTTTACGAGCTAATTTTTCCAAAAAATCTATATGACCAGTCCAACCTTCGATCTTATATGTTTTACGTAAATATTCAGCCTTTACTCTTTCTAAAACTGAACTTACATAATCTTCTGGATTTTGAACTAGTTCAACTCTTACTACACCTTTTAAAACTTTTTCTGTATCAGTTTCTTTAGATGGATAAACTACACCTGGACAATCTATAAGATATATACGACGCATCAAAGTGATGTATTGCCATACTTTAGTTTCCCCTGCTATTGGTGCTACTTTACAGACCTTCTTCGATCTTAATGTATTAATGATCGAACTTTTTCCAGTATTTGGATATCCAATGAAACCTACACTAATTTGTTTTTTATCTACATGCAATTTAGCGAACTGACGCAATAAATTAATAAGAGAACCTTTACCAAACGGATTAGTTAAAGAAGCATGAAATGCTACTGTTGGATATTCTGAGCTTAGAATTGCAACCCATCGTTGTGTCACCCAAGTTGGAACAAGATCAACTTTATTTAATATAAACATTAAATGTTTATGTGGCTTTTCTGTTCTTAAATATTTTTCTACAGGAGGAGATCTAGTTCCCATAGGATCTCTCGCATCTAATACTTGTAATATTACATCGGAAGAATCAATAACTTTATATAGTTCGTTCCAAATTCTCTTGCTTTGTCCTGCTGCCATTACCCAATCCCTTTGCATGTCGCGTACTCCAGTATCTTCACGAATCAGATCGTAATCTTTAGAATCTTTATCTTTGTTATAAGTTTCTTCTTTCTCTTCAGCTGATTTTTGTAATTCATCATAAGTTGCAATAGCTAAATTCGGTCGTTTCCTTAGTTTTTTTGGACCGAATACGCTTTCAAAACTTTCTGTATCTAACAAATGTACTCTTGCATTTGCAGCTTTCTGTTGAAGTAAAGTTACAGGTAATTGTGTAGGTTTCATTACTACTTTGTAAGGATCACTCATAGCAGCTCCTAATTCACTTTGAAATTTCTGAAGCGCATTTTGAGATATTACTCTAGAGTTACCGAACCATCTTTGAGAAGGTTCAACGCGGGACATAGTACCAGATGCATGCCAACCTTGAAACGGTGCTGGACTAATAATTTTACCTACACGATTACGTTTAGGTTTTTGATTACGATACATTTGTAATCTTTTTATAGTTGCTTTAGTTCTAACTTTAGCAACACCTTTTAACCCTTCAGTTGGTCTTTCAGGGTTCATACTATGCCCGGAACGATTAAAACCTTGTTTCCGAGGAGCTTTATTATCTGCTCGTGATTTAGCCATTTTCAATATTATAATTATAACACTTCTGTTTTAATATTCAATATAATAATATTTAAAATAAATTAAATTGTTGAGGTTTTTTATATGATCCAAACTTACACGTGCGTGTTCACCATATTTGATTACACTGCACCCTCTGGTGAGCTATTTATAAAATATTAAACTATTCACCAATTTTCATTAATGTATATTTGTTATTTGTTAAAATTTATTCATTAAATGAAAACAATCGAAATTTTTGAATGATCAATAATTTTTATATAAGTGGATCACTATTTGCAGAATATTAAACCAGATATTAATCGTAGTAAAAGAGAAGACCAATAACAATAAATGACTTAATACATATTAACCAATTGCATTACCGTATCAGTTTAAAATTTTGTAAACGAGTATTGCTTTCAACGTGGCAATGACGAACAATTTCTTTTTAATCTTTAAACTGTGTTTATTGTGTGTGTGTGTATGTCCATACACAATATTGAATAAATTTATTAAACACGTTGCATACAAAATTACGTTTGGAAGAAAAGATATATATATATTTATTTATTTTAATTTATTATTCATAAATTTTATTAATGTAATGTGAAATTATTAATTATTTTCTGATTAAAAAAGAAAATATTGTAAAGAGCGTAGCTACGTGTTACTATATATATTTAAAAATTAATTTTTATGGAAGAGGATCTTATGTCTTCTAAGAGTCTATGGTCATGATAGTCATTGGCACGGAATTCTTTAATCTGTTCCTCCATGTGTCAAACTAACCATGTTTAGACGTATTAATCGTCATAGATGTTAATTACAAACTCGAAAAATGGTGTCGATTATTAAAAATCAGTTACTTAAACATTTATCAAGGTATTGAAAATACTATGCTTTACATTATTTTCTACAATCTTCGATATCATGTTAGATAAAATCGTTCCACCCTTGATCTATGATAGAAAAAAAACACATTAATTAGAAATGTTTTACACATTTAAATCAATGTTTATTTATATATTTATTTAGGAATTATACTTTTTGATTATTAATGAAGTATTATATTTATTTTTTAAAAGTCTTTTGGATAATATAAATTTGATTCCTTTTTGTTCAACAATTTTGGACTCATCTGATTTAAATGATTTTATCAATCATTTAAATCTTTTTAAATTTTTCATATATATAGAAAATGATCTATTTTTCTTATGTTTTACAGATTTACTAAAAATCTATCAGCTGATAAAATAAATTTGAGTGCGTTTAAGGGAGAAGGAGAGTTAACTAATTTAGAATTAGATGAAATAGTTCTAACAGATTTATTAGAATTACCATCATGGTTAAGATTAACAAGTGCTTGGTGTAATAAAGTTTCTTTTCGTATACAATGGACCAAGTTAAAAAGCGTTCCTATTTTGTTGGTAATATATATTATTTATACTATTAAAATATATATATAGAGAGAGAGAGAGAGAAAGAGAAATTATGTTTATAAGAATGAAATTTGATAAAAAATTTATCTGACAAAATTTTATTATTAACTTTTTTGTAGAAATTGGATGAAGTTCATATCGAAGTAGAAACATGTGAAGACTTAAGGAATATGTCTTCCAATCAAGGCCTGTCATCTTATGCAGGCCCAACAAAATATTCTCTTATTCATAAAGTGATCGATGGCATTACGGTTAATGTTAATACAGTGTCAGTTACTTTTAAAAGTCCTGCTTTTGTTGCATCTGTACAGGTAACTAAATTTATGTATATAATTTGTATATGTGATAATTATGGAATATAATAATCTTGATTAAAAAATATAGATGAATCGCATTGTCGTTGAATCTAAATCAGCTACATGGCAACGTTGTGACTTAAGAACAACAAGACTAAAAGATCCAGATCGTGGGCTGTTATTGATTTTTAAGGAATTAGAATGGCAGACTGTAAGAATAGAAGCTCAAAGTACTAAAGATACTAATTTGACGCCTCTTCGTTTACTTACTAACCAAGCGAGATGTTTAATTACTATAAAGAAAAGAATATCAGGTGAAATATATTGTGACACGTTTTATTAACGTTTTACAATGCCAATTAAAAATTTTACATAATATAAATAATTATTTTTCATTAGATTGCTTCATCATGGGTTCAAGACTGATACTCATATTAGATGATCTCTTATGGGTTTTAACAGACTCTCAATTAAAAGCAGCATTACATTTCATAGATTCTTTAGGAGGTCTTATAGAAAAAGCAACTATGTTGGAGCGAAAAACAAAAGCAGCTAGAAAGTTAGAGGTGTGTTTCAATATTATTACTTCTCATGAAGTTTCCTTTAAGACATTTTTTCTAATGAATCTAAAGAAATATTTATGTATTTTTCATTTTTCAAGGTTTTACCAGAATATCAAGCACAAATTTCTCAACAAAGTAGAACGAAAAATCAGTTTAATAAGCCAATATCTAAAATATTTTCAAAATATGATGTTGTAGAAACGTCTTATCACTTTTGGCCTCAAAGAATCGATCTTCATTTGTGCGATGATGTTGGTGGTGAGTTAAAGATTATATTATTATATAAGATAGTAATTATTATCTGTAACACATATTAATATCATTTACACAATAGGAGGTAGATCATTACATCCTGATTTGAGGGATGGCGGTGCTCTGCAAATATCTTTAGTTAAGTTCTATATTGATTATTATCCGTATCATCTGGCAATGGCTGATAGAAAAGATTGGGTTAAATATAGAGAAAATGCTACACCTCATAGTCAATGGTTACAACAATCATTGAGTTCTTTTAGAAGTCAATTTATGGATTTGATTGATTCTGGTAGGACACAACATTCTCCATTAACAAGAAGTCAAGGAAATGTTACAGGTTTGAATGCTCAAGTATATTTACGTAATGACAAAATTTATAATATATTCATAATTGTAATATTTATTTTTCAAATGATCTAGGCAGTACTACAAAAGGTTCTGGAGAAAGTTTGGAAAAAAGTAGTCAATCGCAGAGTGCAAATGTGGGATCTCAAGAACAGAAAAAGTTTCAAGGTTCTAGCGGAAATCCAGTGAAAAATTATGTTCTCGAACAGCTTGCTAAATTAATGACAACTTGTATTATCATTAGAATTGATGATTTTACATTGTTCAAAGTTACTACCGCATCACGCAAGCCTGTACCAAAGGAATTTATTACAGGTATTACCATTTTACTTTCTTTCTTCTTTTTTTCAAATATATCAGGCGTTTATTATTTCTTTTCAATATAGAATAAATTAATATAAAGCATTGGATTTTTATATTTTCTTGAAAAACACAAGAGCAAAGTTTTTGTTATTGTAATACAGTTTATACATAATTATGCTCTATGATAATTCTAGTTTTTAGTTTTGAAAGTGCATTATTAATTATTTTATTTGGTAATTGTATAGCTCAAACGAGGAAAAAACGTCTATCAGGTATAATACCAAGTAAATGTTGTGTGCTTGTTTTTTATGTAACATCTGAGTGTTACTCAGAAGGTAGTTTATTACAAAATTAATTTGCTTTTGTAATTACAAAAATATATACATTGACTTAGTCTACAATTTCATAAAATAATTTAATTAAACAATACATTAATATATACGATCATAAATAAATTACATTTATTTCATTACTATGTTCTTTCTAGTTATCATGTCAGAGCCGCTTCATTTCATTAGTAATTTATGCATACAAGAAACATTGAGCAATGAAACATATATTATCAATTTTGTTAGATAAACTATATTTTTACTTGGGATTATTCAGCATGCATAGCATGTTAACTACAAATGAATATTATATATATATATAAAAATACAAACCACACATTTTCTATTTAAATCGATATTTTTGTTTAGGTGATCGAGATAGATTCTGTCTTCCCGAAGATTTAACTATTCTTCATGCAGAATTTACCTACTATTATTATCCTGGAGATATAACTTTTCCATGTAAGAATACGTAAATGTATAAAAATATACTTATTTTTTTATTTTGTTGATTATTAAAATGATTGCAAATATTATATAATTAAATGTAAAAACAAATGTACATACAATTTATATATTTCATTTGTTGCAGTACCACCGCCAAAATTTTATGTGCAAGTAAACCCAATTCAAGTTAACTTCGATATATGCTCCTGCCTTTGGTTTAATTCTTTTCTATTAAATCTGCACCATTCACTAATGAAAAAGAATGAACCATCAAATTTAAAAAATATGATGTATTTTGATGTAAAGATAGAAGCTATTCTTCCAAGGGTAAGTCTTTTATATTTTAATTTATATTCTTTAAAGAATATTTTAATTTCTAATATTTTGCTTTAATAACTACTTTCAGATAGTTTTTGAAAATCAGCAAGATTATCCTAATCAAAAAGATAGACCTAAATCCTTGCATATTCAGACTTCTAGAGCATCGATTACAAATGTTCGATCAGTGGAAAGATCTTCAAGAGCTGACTTAGCACAATGTTTAAATACGTTTCAAATGGGTCAAATGTTTTTTGGAGCTGAATTTCCAAGCAAAGAGAATGATTTTCATGTTGTGACTGATAAATTTTTAGCGCATTGTGCAGGTAATTTTTTTCAAGTTCTTTTTTTATATTCTTTTATATAAAAATTAATTTGTTAATACATTTTTTGTTCTTTTGTGTGCAGGTACAGATAATATTAGATCTGCTCCATCAAATTTTACTAGTAATTCAGTTAACGAATTAATTCGACAATTACATCGTGAATTTTTATGGACAGAAGCGAAAGATGTATGGTGTTGCAATTTAGAGCCAGTTTGGGGTGACTTTTTTGGTGCAAGGGCAGTAGGACAAAATCGTCCAGTTCCATTTTTCGATGCATTTCCTTTAACATTTTGGTGTCATATGAATTTAGAACCAGTAACAGAAACAGAAAACACGTTTACTGCAGATATTCATGGACTTGCATATATAAGCAATTTAGTTAGCGTACAAATAAATCATTATCAATATCTTTTTTTATTAAGATTGTCAGAAGTTTTATCGGAATTGACTACGTATTTAGCTATTGATTCAAATAAGATATTGAATGTCGAATCTGGTGGTTCATTAATAATTGGTGCATTAATACCGCA